GTATAATATTATTTATGCATTTGCATAAATAATATTTATACTTTTTTTTTGTGTATTTATCTGGTGCTTATACACCGTCCCCCTCACCTGCTGCTGTTGCGTAGCGTTTGTTTTCCTACAAACATTCCTTTAATAAATAAATAAATAAATAAATAAATAAATAAATAAATAATAAAGCAACAAATAAAATAAACAAAAACGCATGCAATTCAAATGCAAACAAACATGGAGTGTCTGAACAGCTGTAAAAGGAATGAAGTCTGGGGGTTATAGAACCACTCAGTTCAGCTCCTCTCTACCTTTTCTTTTATTTATTATTTTATTTATTTATTATTTTATTTATTTATTTATTTTCGACTATCAAGGCTACTGTGTTTCATCTACATATTGCTTTGGGGGTTATACAGATAATCTCTGTTATTTTTTCCGGTGTATCTACAGCTCCCAACAAGGCTTTCGTTTGCATTCTTAATTGAATACTGCGGGGGCGTTGTTTTTTAATTTAGTTTTTTAATTGACAGAACAAACAAAATAAAAAAAAATAAATAAAAAAAAGCCATAGAGGCAGGTTACTATGAGTGTAGGGATCAGTAGACTAGCACACACACACACGGGGGCACCAGAAGAGAGAGAAAAGAAGAATAAAACAAATGTATATTAAGCTCTTCAATAGAATATATATACGCACAGTTCAGGTGTATAGGCAGCTCAGCTGTATTCAATATGCAGTTGGCGTCAACTCAGTGCAGAGGCACAGAAGGAGTGAATACAGCGCGAGCGAGGAGCAGTATCGGGAGAGAAAAAAGCAGTTATTTTGAAATTTAAATGAAAATAATAAAAATTAGTATTATATAAATAACTTTTATTGAAAAAAATATACAAAATTAGGGCGAGAAACCGATATATTTTGTCGCTGTGCTGGGTGTGTGCAGCCTCAGCACCATTGGGGTGTATACTGAGTTCATGTATAGAGTATACCGTGTTCCTTCTGACGAAGAAAAAGGAAAAGAAAGCCAAATAAATTAATTTTTGTTTTTTTAATGAATATAAAATAAAATAAATTAATTTATTTTATTAATTTTTCTGCTTTCTGTGCATTGGTGCCTGTCGATGCGTTCATGTATTGAGGCCGCAACCACCGGCCATAGCTATTCATATTTCGGGCTCTCCTGAGCTCTGCATGCAAAAATATTAAATCTTCTGTTGATATTTGGATATAATTCGTAAATAAATAAATAAAATTAAAGAGAAACGCTAAAAAAAACCACAAAAAAACTGTATCTTTGGTGCTGCATGCTGAGCACTCGGTGGCCTGCAGCTGTCTGTACACCCGAAGGGCCCGCGTGCTGCTGCTGCTGCTGCTGCTGCTGCGAGCTTTCTTCTTTTATTTTATTAAATTCCAAGGAAATAAGAGTATTTTAAACAAAACAAATTCAAATATATCTGCTTTCTTGGGTTTAATTGGGGTCAAGAAGGCAGCAGCTAGCTTGGGCGTAGCTCACCCTGCTCCCACCGGGCTTCTCCTTTTCCTCTCCTTCTTGCGTTTTAATTTCTTCTTTTTGTTTATTTTAATGTTTATTTATTCAAAACTAATTCAACCATAGAACCATCTCTTCTGCTTTTGCAACAAATCCAGGGTGCCCCGCCCCCCCCCCCCCCCCCC